TAGTTAACAGAAGAATGACATACATTTATTTGAATTATGTTGACCTCCCACACAAACACACAAGTTTTACCGCCAAATACCTTTCCAGGTTTCTGACCTGTCCTCATCAATAATCAAATTTTGGAAGAGCGGAGCCACTGTCAGTGGCCCATGCCTCTAATCTTAGCTAACCAGGAGCAGATATTCAGGAGGATTGTTGTTTGAGGTCAGCCTGGAAAATAGTTTATGAGACCATAACTTGAAAATACCAACACAAAAAAGGGCTGAGGAAGTGGCTCAATGGTAGAGTGCCTGCCTATCAAGTGTGAGACCCTGAGTTCAAATCCCAGTCCTGCCAAAAATAAACACCCATTTTAGAAGAGTAGAGAAAGAGCTTTATCAAATTTACCTTTGTCCTATCTTCAACAAACAACATTTTTTAACTTATAATGAGGAAAGAGCCATAATAAGAAAAACATTATTCAATTTTTAGAAATCACCACTCAAAAAGGCCCACACATTATTCTAACCAGCAAAAAGTAAAACTCCCACAGTGTTTTGGGAAAATCTAGTTCTTGAAACGTTACAAGTTTCTTTCAAATGACATTTGGTCTAACAGTTCCTAAAAACTGCTCAAGTATGTATGTGAAATACATATCTGTTTTGATAAGTTAAAATCAGCTCCCACTGAAAGACCTGGTCTCTCAAAGATGCAGCTTACTCTGTCAAGAACCACATCAGTGATAGGAGGCAGGCCCTCTGGTTTTTGGATTACGGCTGCAAAATTGAAAGTCCAGCAGAAAATTCCCTGCCATACTGCTTTCTTGCCTTCAGTATCAGCAGGCTTCCAGGATTCTAAAAAAGAGAGATGTAGGCAGATACACTGTTTGCACAAACTGGATTGCAGTATTTAGTTTATTTCCTTTAAGCACCAAACAAACAAAAAAAAAAAAAAAAGCAAGCAACCCTAAACTTCAAATACCCCAGAAATAAGGAATTCAACAAAAACCTTTGGCACCACAGAAAACAAGGATACTTTGGTTGTTCATACAGAAATGGTATTTAGAGAAAAGAAAAGATTAAAGGACTAAAACACAAAAAAAAGTAACTAAAGGTACTGAAAAGTCTAATCATATATATCTGCTGTATAATCTGAACAAAATATACTACAAAACAAATATTCCTGGCTCTTGAAAGCACTCTTAGCTATTATTCTTTTTATTTGTTGAATAGGGTCTTTCATTAGCCTAGCTGGCTTTGAACTTGTGATCCTATGCCTCAGTCTCCTGAGTGCTAGAGTGCTAGGTACAGAAGTACACTAACATGCCCAGCTTAGTTAATTTTTTAATAAGAATTTTAAGTTTACTATTTTACCATAGAAGTTTACCTTGCTACCAATGGTACTGTACCAGTAATCACTAATTTAGCCCCACTCTCTCTAAATGAAAACTGGAAAGAAATTCTATATAATATTTTATTGGATAATGAAAGCAAGCAATGATTCTTTTAATTGACAGAATTCCTATGAAAATCAGACACCAGATCAGTTCATGGTAGCACGATTTTAGCTTCTATTTGCAGAGATTATAGATCCACTAATGGTCGGCAAAATTTTGCAGATATTTTTAACTAAATCCTATTACCTTAATATGTTTATTAAAAGGTGGCCAACTTATCAGGATCTAAATTTTAAAACTGCCTTTTGTCCAACTACTGCTGTTGAATACTGTATTAGAGGATAAAAGGAAGTTGATCGATTATAGTGACTGGCTAAAAGTTGTACACTTTCACCATGAAAAAATGATACCAGTATAATCTACATTTGTAAAACAGACAATACTCTCTCAATTTCCTGAAGAATACTGGTGGTAGCTGCAAGTTTTTGTTCTGTATGCACCCAGATTGTCAAAAGTGACTTAAAAATACCAGCTTGAAAACTGAAAAGAGTTTTTACCTAAAAACTTTTTAGGTCTTATAGCTCCTAAACACTGTGTGAAAATAGAAATGACAAAACCTAACAATTTATCATAAAGTCCATTAGCAGGAGTGTACTTGAGTAAGATCAGTATATCAAGTGGGGGAAGTATAAGACAGTGGTTTTCAAATATTTTTGATTACAACTCACAGTAACAAGTACAACTTCATGACTCAGGATAAACACTTACAGAAACTAAAATAAAAGTTTCTTGAAATCACACTAACTTTTATTACATGTAATGCACTGACACTTTTCCTTTTATAAAATTATTGTAATGGCCCACTAGATTTATTTCATAGGCTACTAAATGTATTAAGACCAGCAGTTTGAAAAAATGGTCCTCCTTATTTTTGAAGTCTGGTATTTTTACATTCAAACCCTATCTCATGAAAAATTTTCCTTTTTGTTGTTTTTTATTATTGTTATTACTGGCAGTACTGGGGTTTGAACTCGGGCCTCATGCTTACTAGCAGGTAGGTGCTTTACCACTTAGGCCATTCCACCAACCAGGGTCTTGCTATGTAGTTCAAATGACCATGAACTCTTTTTTTTTTTTTTTTTTTGCTGTACTGGGGCTTGAACTCAGGCCCTTCACCTTGAGCTACCCAACCAGCCCTTTTTGTGAAGGGTTTTTTGAGAAGATAGGGTCTCTCAGAACTATTTGTCCAGGCTGGCTTCAAACTTCAATCCTCCTGATCTCTGCCTCCTGAGCAGCTAGGATTACAGGCGTGAGCCACTGGCACCCAGCTGGCCATGAACTCTTGATCTTCCTGCCTCAGACTAATGAGTATTAAAGCATAACCCACCATGCCCACTTTTAAAATTTATTGTAGATCTGGCAGACTAAGAAAAAACTTTTCATATACCTCAAAAGTTTCATCACAGGGAACCACCTTTTCCCACATGTCCACAACAAATTTTTCCCAAAATCTCAAAGCCAAATCATGGTGCACAATATTAGGACAGAAGTTTTTTGTTTTGTTTTTGAGATGCTGGGGATGGAACTCGGGTTTCATGCTTGCTAGGCAAGCAAGCTGCCACTGAGTACATTCCAGTGTATAGAATTTTAATGCATTTGACGGTGTCAGAAGATGAAAGATCTTGCAGTTTATCATAAATTTCTCAGTGCCATCTCCCAACACTACAGGTATTTGATTTTAATTACATTGCCTGGCTGATTTATATCAGAGTTAAATTCTACCATGATTTCTGTCAACAAAAACTGAATCTAAAGCTTATGAAATGATAATCTCAAGGACATGGTCAGATATAGTATCCCTCTGAATTAAAATGAACAAAAGTATCTCTTTCTTTTTGGTGGACTGGATTTGAAATAGGGCCTCGCACTTGCAAAGCAGATGCTCCACCACCTGAACCACACCTCTGTAAATTTCTCTTGTTGAATTCCAACAGCCTGGCAGTAATGGATTCCCTTTGGCAACTGCTCTTCCAATGCCAGAAAGTCCTGAAACCAACATCAGGTATCATTTCTGCCAGTACAGAATTCTCTGGATTTGCTAATGACTAAATTATGTTTGTGTGTGTATTCTGTAGTTAGTATTTTGTGATGAAGCTTTCCATCTAACATTTCAATGAGGAAGCAATATTTCTTTAAGATTACAGCAGAGTGAAGGGGAGAACGAACGAGGTACCCAAGAATGCAGAGATAAACATACCTGACTTAAATGGAATGTGACCCCATCACCAGTACTATCAGTAGAGCCTGAATTAGCATCTATTCCTTCACCCTCAGAAATATTCTCAGCACCATTGTGGATAGGCTCAACTTCTTCTCCATTTTCTTCCACAGCTTTCACTTTTTAGTCAGAGAGGTCTTTGTCCTTGATGAAACCCTTGGCTTATTTTATCTTGTTAGATTCAAGTACACTGTCAATTGAAAGTTCCTCTTCAGCTTTAGGCTAAAGTATAAGTGAAGATAGAAATTACATATTTTTTCACATGTATAAACATAAATAATGGCATATATCTACCTCCTACAAAAAGCACAGGAAAGCACTGTCACTCAAGGTAAGACTGTGTCAGCATATACTAGAAAGGTAAAAATTTTAAAAAGCATGTTACTCATTTCACAACCTGGGATAAGGCAGACAATTCAAATAGCTACTGAAATGTTTAAAATGTGAGTAATGAAATCAAAATGTGTACCAAAGGTATAATGGAAAGAATTGTTAATCCTTGGAATTTGATGAACATGAAAAAGTTCTAGTCAGAAATCTGAAATAAGCATTCCTCTAACTAGTAAGGCTCAACAAATATAAACAGAAACACTCTGGAGACTGTATTTTGGTGCTGTCTTTGGCTGAGAAATGGAGAGTTGGGGGAATTAAAGCATTTAACTCCTATAAAGCCAAATGTATCTCATGTTACACGGAGGTCACATGTTAGTTAAAATCAATTTGCTTGGACTCGGAATACATGAGTGTGTGTGTGTGTGTGTGTGTGTGTGTGTGTGTATAAAAAGCTCAGAATGTTAACTCTTTAGGGAAAAATCTGGTTCTGAAGTATCAAGTCTATTTTTTCGGCAAAGAAGAATTGAAGCTATCCCTCAGGTTGTTTTTCACCATGTATCTGGGTGCCAGATATCAAACAAAACAGCTTTCTAAGTCATCCTTAACCACCAAAACTCCTGAGGCAAAGTTCACCATGAAATGTCTCTTTCTTTTTCAAAAGGAATACACTGAAGACAATTCTATGGAAAAAGAACTCAACAGAGCACTGAGTAAGGTGCATATTCTAAATATCAGAATGCAGACCATCACAAATGATTATGTTTAAAAAGATTTGAGTGACAAATCTACTTTATAACACAAAAGAATTATAACAGAAATAATACTAGTAAGTTTTCTTTTATGATACATCAGATCACAGAAAAAAAAAGACACAAAATTTTCAAATGTTATCAGTAGAAATAGATAGTTTTTAGGTCCTGATTATCTAATGGAAAAAAAAGTTTATGCAAATATGCTTGGCCCCCCCCCACCAAACACACCTCTGTAAGAGGCAGTATATGGAAACTATCAAAAGATAGATGTTAGGAATGGTAATCCTAGCACTTGGGGAGCAAGTTTCATGAGTTTGAAGGCAGCCTGGGAAATAGCAAGGTCTCAAAACAAAAATACAGCAAAATAAAACAAAACAAAACAAAAAACCCCACAGTACCACCAAAAAAAAAAAAAATCCACGAAGAGAAAAGAACTTGCAATCCCTACTGTGGAGGCACAGAAAAGAGGATCACAACTGAAAGCTAGCTGGGGCAAAAAGTCAGTAAGATCCTATCTCAAAAACAAAATGTAACGCTGGACATGATGGTACATGCCAATAATCCTCGCTACGGGAGGAAAGATAGGGGGTTTATGGCCTATACCTCAGAAACTGAGAAGAAAAAACTTCATACTTATACTTTAAATGAACTCATAATGACTCCAAAAAACAAACTTATAATTAAGTACAGGTCATCAGGAAAACTCTCTTCCCTTAACCCCAGAAGAGTCTAACTATGTTGCCCAGGATGGCTTCACTATCTCAGAATCAAGCAATTTTTCTGTTGCAAATTCCCAAGTCATTGAGACTATAGTAATGCACTATCATACCCAGCAAAACTTTTAATAATCTGAAGTGTAGGCTAGATTCAGTAGTTCATGCCTGTAACTCCAGCTTTGGGGTAGGCAAGATTTATAGTTTGAGGTCAACCCAGCAAAGTTAGTGAGATCCTATCATCAATAAGCCACATTGAAGTTGTATTCCTGTGATCCAGTGTGTAGGAAGCAAGTTAGGAGGAACATATCCAGGAAACTCTAGAAAAAAGTGAAAAAGGGCTAGGGGCGAGGTTCAGGTGGGAAGGTATACCTGCCTCGCAAGTGCAAGGCCCTGAGTTCAACCCCAGACCAAACAAAACACAGTAACAACCCCCAAGACGTACAAAACCCTGAGTGTATGTATATAAATGATAGTAAAGAACAGGATAACTGCATTATATGATTAAGTAGAACTCTTCTTTTAAATCTTGCAAAATGTGAAAAAAAATGCCGTTTTAGAGAGGAAAACTGGGTATTCCTCTCTGTATCTAAATCCGTAACAGACATAAACAGAAGTTTATTATTTGGAACTTCAATTCTAACACAAAAAAGACGTATAAAGACACTTTCCCCATGAACAACAAACCGTAATTTAGAGGACACAGAATCACTAAAGTGTCTCAAACACAATGTTATAAATATTTCAAAAGAATCAACAAAAATAGGAAAATTAAATATGTGATTATTTTTCTTTCATCAGGGTGAAGCCCTATCAAACTAGTCCAAAAGAGCCTTAATAGTTTCTATTTTTTTCACTCAGAAAACCACAATGAATAAAAAGAGAACTTCATTGGCTTGATAGCAAAAGGTGAAACTTTTGTGTTGAAGGAGAATTTAGTTGACAAAACTCCGCTTAACACAATGAATCTTTTAATACATGGAGAACTAAGGATGCAATGGTTGATGAAATTTCCTAAAATTTTATAACAAATTTTAAAATGCTTTCACCGGCAATTTTAAAAAGAAAACATTTTGTTACTTTTCTAGGCTATAACTTAAAGAAGCTAATAATATATATTTATAATGATTCGACAACAATGACGTATTGTAATATTCAAAATAGAATGTGCCGCATATTATTTTTTTAAAGGCTGAGAAAAATAACCTAAGGAAGAGAGTGCTTCGTCAGTGCAAATGAAGGAAAAGGTATCCAACAAATAAACTACTCTAATAATCACTTATTTTAGTTAAGGCAAGGAAATTACATTTCTGAAAGAAATCTATATGCAAATGAACAAATACTTTTTAAATTTAACATTTATCCAATAAGGGTAGGAAATAAGTGACTGATTAAAAAATGAGTTAAGGTACTAGGGTGTGGCTCAAGTGTATAGCACTTGCTAAGAGGCATGAAGCCTTGAGTTCAGTCCTTAGTTCCACTAAAACAAAAACAACAAACAAAAAATGAAAATAAAAGACTCAAAACACAGTTCTCCTTTTTGAAGATAACAGGCTAAAGCAGGATCTATAGCAAACTATAGCCCACTGCCAATTTTGCCTCAGTACTTATTTTGTAAGACAGGCAAGGATAGGATGATTTTTATACTTCTAGTAGTTCATGACATACAAATTCAAATTTCAGGGCGCACCAATAAAGATGTACTGGAATATAGCCAGATTTTACTGGTTTACCTATTGTCTTTGACTGCTTTGGGGCTGAAGTGGTACAGTGAGGAGTGTGACAGAGATCACAACAGTCCTAGGTCTAAATATTTACTATTCCAACTTTTACAAAATAATAAGCTGTTTAGGAAACCCTAAACTAGTCTTAAAATGTCACACACACATACAAAAACCAGTATGAATATTTGAAGACATGAGAAATATAGCTATAGGACAAAGGAACATGAAACATAACAGAAGAAATGAATAAAAATCCAGCTGCACCTAAAAAGAAGTCAATATATATAGCCATACCAGGAATATATGTGATTCCCATGCCTCTAGAAAGTATTTATTTTCTGTAGGAGCAGCATTTCTTGTTAAGCTGCAAGAGGAGTGTAAACAACCACTGGCACCTCTACTGGTTAGTGCCAATCTTACTCCCTGATAACCACAATCAATCACACCCATGCAACATGTTAGTGGTTGCTAAGGGCCTAACTGTGACATCAACAGAACATCACATAAAGGTAATGGCAGGACAGGGAAAGCAACAAAGGGTAATGTAAGCTGCAGGAAGAAGAAAATTTTTTCTTTTAATGCTGGGTTTTAACCCACAGCTTCTAAATTTGAGCTATCCGCCCCGTCCATCGTGTCCCCCCCCCACCCAACACAAAACACCGTCCTTTTTTGCTTTAGGTGTTTTTAAATAGAGTATTCCAGTTATGCCCACGCCAGCTTGGACTACAATCCTCCAATCCTCCTCTTTATGCTTCCCGCATAGAAGGGGGATGACAGGCGCACAGCACCATACCTCAGCTTTTATTAACGGAGATGGGGTCTTACATACTTTTGCCTGGGCTGGACTGAAACAGTGATCTTCCTGAATAGCTAGGATATAGCACAAGCCACCCATGCTTGGCTAAGAGATAAAAAATTTTAACTAGCTAGAAAAGTAAATGCATTTAAAGTTGCCTTAAAACAGCATATCTATTTTAATATCATTTTAAACCTTCAGAAAAATTATATTATTGAAGGTCTATAAGAATAGTGTAAGGCCAGGCCTTGTGTCACTTTCCATAGTCTGAGCACTTGCGAAGCTGAGGCAGAAGGATATCAAGTTGGAGGCAAGCTGGACTGCACAGTGAGACCATGTCTCAAAACAACATCAAAAACCTTCGAACAAAAAAGAATAGATTAAAAAGCCAGGTGGGGGTGGCCAGCCTGGGCTACATAGTGAGAAGTGAGACCCTCATGTCAAAAACCAATAGTATAAAAGGAAAACAGTTACTAGCAGATTGTCTATACTACTCCATAAGCTTTAGTGCCCAACACTAAGGATGATGAGATCACAAACAAGAAATTGTTCCAGCAATCCTTAGCACTGCTTGTTCTTGTTTCTGCCTCGCATCATCTTTTGGAGTTGGTATTTTTTAAACTATAGCAAAATCTGGTGAGGCTTATTTCAACACAGACAAATGATATGAAGAAAAGTTACTGGGATGTAGGGGAAAAGAAGATTGGAAATAAATTTTCCTGTACTGTACTGACTATTTCCCCCACAGTATTTCTACCATCACTGCTAATGGACATTTCAAAAAAAAAAAAAAAGCTTTTGCTTACAAGATTAGTCTTCTATGTGGAAAGTTTCAATTAGGAAGAGGTTTTTTTTGGGGTTTGTTTTGTTTTTTAACCCAGGGTCCTAATGCTGAAAAGCAAGCTCTCTTATCAACTGAGTCATGTACCCAGCTGCAAAAGTTGGCCACTTACAAGAGAGATTTTCAAGGCAAGAATTCAAATGAAACTAAGCATGTCATTAAAAATCGTTTAAAATCTACAGTAAACAGACTTTTAAAAATGAACTTTCTGAGCTTGATAAATCTCACAGGTAATTTGCAACACCACCACTGACCTGAAGATAAGTTAAAGCTATTTGCTGCCTCTTACCTCCAATTCAACCTCTAACACCTCTTCATTGGTTCGGTTTCGATCTTTTGGTTTCTTCCAGGTCTTTGGTGCAGTAGTAACTGTTTGCACTGAACACAAGAATAGGCAATTAATTACCCCTGCAAGTCATGCTGAGAATTATTAGGTCTAAGTCATACCTGTATTCAAATTGAGAAGAATAAAAGAGAAGTTCAACTGTACCAAGAGAGATTTGGATGACTGGCAATTGTGTAGCTGCAGCCCAGAGATTTCAACAGCAAACATATTAGGCACACACTCCTAACTTTCTGACCAGTGGCTTTGGTTCCTCCTATCATGATAATTACTGGCATGTTATTTGATGAGACTGAGCATCCCCAATCTGAAAATCCAAAGCATTCAGATTTACAGAGTAAGGCCGTTCAACCAGTAAATGTATGCAAATATTTCCAAACTGGAAAAATTCTGAAATACTTCTGATCTCAAGCACTTCAGAACAGGGATAGCCAAAATTGGCTTGTGTGCCAGGCACCAGGCTCACACTGTAAATCCTAGCTACTTCTGAGAATGAGATCAGGAGGATCATGGTTTGAGGCCAGCCCTGGCATAAAGCGAGACCCTATCTCAAAATTAACCAGGGGAAAATAGACTGGAGGTGTGGCTCAAGTGGTAGAGCACCTGCTTTGCAAGCGTAAAGCCCTGAGTTCATACCCCAGTCAATTCTAGACTTGTGTCTACTTCTATTAACTATAATTTTTTTTTCTTTTTTCTTCCAGTACTGGGAACTAAACTCAAGGACCTCGCACTTGCTAGGCAGACATTCTACCCGGGCCCTTTTTGCTTTGGTTATTTGTCTGGTAGGGTTTTGTGTTTTTTACCTATAGCTTCAGTTTGAAATCCTCCAACTTACAGCCTCCCATGTAGCTGGTTTGACAGAAGTGTGCAACCAAACCTGGCATGTTGGCTGAGATGGGAGTCTTGCTAACTTTTTCTTGCCTGGGCTGGTGTTGAACTGATATCCTCCTGATTCTGCCTCCCAAGTAGCTAGGATGACAGCAGCAAGCCACTATACCAGATGCCAACTGTGTAATCTTAAGTAAGTCACGCCATCTTAAGTCTCTTTACAATTCTATATAAAGTGTAAGAGATTGGTAGCTGTAAGAAAATATTTTGTTCAGGACTCAGATATTTTTTTAAAGATTTCTAGATAACAAAAGTAAATTTTTATGTAACACTTAAATAACATTTGGTTTTCATCTAAATTCAAAATCATTGGCCTACACTTTACTATTGCTGGGATAAAATTAAGAACAGGCCATTTCTTTTTTTTTTAACTGGATTCTTCTATACTGTATTGAAATTCTAGAAAAAAAAAACAGCTTTTTTTTCTTTTCTTTTTTTTTGGGGGGGGTAGCTCTACCACTGAGCTACACTTCTAGAAGACTTAAAAAGACTTAAAAATTACCTGATTTACAGATTCCACAGAATAACATTTGTATAAAAAATTTAACTATAACTTAACCATCACAAAGTGAACAGAAAATATTAAAAGGATCCTACAGAAGGCAATTTATCAGTTAGCATATGGGAGTACAGTGTTAAAGGTGGGTGGGTAGGGAAAGGAGTCACTTAATAGCAACATTACCACAGCTGAACAGACACAAACTAAAGGGTTATCATTTAATCTGATTCCCTGCAGAGCTATAAAATCACTCACTGAGATTCTGGGATGGTGGAACAGTGTGTATAATCTACACAACTGGTTTGGGGAACAAGGAAAAAGAGACATTTAATACTTTTCTTCTCAAAATTATTGCATCATAAAAAAAATTCTGCAAAACTTTATTGACATACCTCAATTCTTCTTTAACCTTCCCCCCAGGAATCACAATGAACAAGAAAATAATAATAGGAGAGCTATTATTATTCCTTTGTGACCTATCCAAGGTTAATCACTTTCTTCAAGTAAGGAAACTGTGCAGTGTAACATTTACCATTGCTTCACAGCCTTCTACCAAGTTCTGTAGTTATGTTTTATATGATCTTCAGTTTGACATAGCCAGTCTGTTTTAAAAAGTATTCCCCAAAATACTTTTGATTTTCATTCTGCTTCCATCCTTCAAAGAGTTATGGCATATTTATAATCTTGTCACAATCCATTTAACAAAGTTTGATTAGATTTCAGTGAAAATTTCCAGAGTATTTTTTTTGTGGGATGGGGGTTAAATAAGTTTACTATAATTAGTACGTATGGTGTAGAATTTCATGCATATGAAGAGTGCCAGCAGTGTGATAATTTAAATGTATTTAAAGAAAAAACAAAAAAAAAAGACAAATGCACCAAATTTGCTGTTGCTTACATCACTGCCAGCTTCTAGAACCCAGTTTCTTTTCAGTGATTCAAATACCAAATGGAAAAAAAAAATTTGTGCCTGGAAAAAAAGTTATGGCATTTGAAGAATTTGTTACAAGTTGTAAGTTTCATTTGGTTTCATTTCACCAACTGACAGCATTCAGCTCTAAATCCCATTCAGGGAAAGAAGAAGGACTAATTTTGAGGGGAATCTTGGAATTTGAAATAAAACTCACAAATACAAACTTTGCTTTCCAAAAAATGTTATCAAGCTTACACAAAACCTAAAACATAGAACAGAACATTTCCTATGAGTAAATATAACACATTAAAGATTTTTTTTTAAATAGGTATTTACCATTGGAATTGTTATTCACTTGTCAGCTGGTTAAAATCTGTATTTTATTTTATTTATTTCTTTTTTGTGGTATCAGGGCCTTCACGTTGAGCCACTCCCCCCAGCCTTATGTTTTGTTGAAGGATTTTCGAAATAGGTCTTGTGAAGTATGTGTCTGATGGCTTTGACTGTAATTCCTCCTGATCTCGACCTCTTGAGAGCTAGGGATTTTCAGGACATGAGTCACCAGCCCTGGCCTGGTAAATCTATTTGAAAACATTGAAAGTAGTAATTTCAGAAAAAGATGCAGAGGGTAGGCATACTCAAGTGGAAGAGTCCTTGACCTAGCAAGCCCTAACGACCCTAACCTCTTCTTTTTGAAGAAAAGTACTTCTTTTCTGGAATAACTGCAAGTTTTTATAAAACTTCTGCTCAAAATGTCATGTAAAGCTTGGCTAAAGAAGCCTGCAATAACTATGCACCAGTGTCAGTCAGGCTCCACCGATTATGTCAACCCTTACATTGGCAGCCTCCCACAAAGTCTAAGGCCAAGACAAAATGTAAACAAGTCTTTGGCCACAACAAACCACCAACCAGACCTCAAATCCAATCTTCAAAAAGTGCCCCATTCCCATCTGAAAACCTCATGAGCCTGACCGTCACCATCTGTCATTCATGTTGGCATCCTGGTTCACTGAGGTCCCACTAGACTCTCCTGTTAAACTCTGTGATAGAGCATCTGGGGCTTCCCGTGATCCCGGCCTGGAACCTGTCAAAATTCTACCCACAAACAGGTCCAGAGGACTAAAGAACCACATGGTTAAATTTAGGTACAGCAACAGCCCCACTGCGGGCTGTACCAATTTGCTGTATTAGTTCAGACTTTCACGAGGTACGCCACAAGGAGGTGTAAGGAAGCAGGAACAAACATGCCTTGGTACTAGTGGGCTTTCTCCCTGTCATCCCCTTTGATCATTCTGGGCCGCAGCCAATTACATGATTTTGTTGCCCACGATTTAAGAGTGGTTCTACCCCTTTAGAATCCTCTTCTGGAAAATTGGCTTACAGGACACCGTAAGTGCATTAATAAGCATTTCTTAAATCAATCAACTGAACCAATCAAGAATAACACCATTATGGTCTAAAATTGTTGGATTCTAAAAGATATTCAGAATGTTTTTCAGACTAGTAGGATTGGACAATCATTACTCCTATCATTGGCATAATGTTCCCTTATTTAGATTATTTAACCAATATTTTCTAATCATAAACAGAGTTATTGCTCCTCCAAGCACCAATGAAAAAAGACGATATGACTCAAAAGGAACTACAAGCACAGGACAGACAACAAATTAAAAACCTACAGTTTGAGCGTTTGCCAGTGGCCTTGCACTTGTGAATCCTAGCTACTCAGGAGGCAGAGATCAGTTTTGAGCTAGCCTCTGCAAAAATTAATTCAGGGGATTCCAGTCTCGAAAAAACCCACGCCAAAAAAGAGCAGTGCAGAATGCTCAAGCAGTAAAGAAAGCATGCTAGAAAGCATGAGTCTCTGGTTCAAATCCCAGTACCACCAAATAACAAAAAAAAACAAGAAACAAAAGCCTTGCGCATTTATTTCTAAATATATTCAACAGCTCTGCCCAAATCCTCCATAGGCCAGTTCCTTAAATTTGTTAAAGTGCCCTAACAGTGCATAATTGGTATTTTGAAATAGGGAATAACTTGAAAGCAAAGCAAGCCATTAAAGGAGACCAATTCAAACTTAAAGGCTGTAACAGGCAGAGAAAGATAGGAGGTTAAAGACATGACTTAAAAACTAAGTCATTTTTATTAAGAGAAAATAATGATAGATAAAAAATGTCTTGACTAGTCGATTTGAAGTCACATTTAGATGAAGTTAAACTGAGGTTAAAATTTTGCATCTTCTGACAAAGACCAAGTCACAGCACAGATTTCTATGAGCTTCCTTGTAGCAGAGCGCAAGAACCATTTCACATGCTAGGCAGCGTCCTTCTACTGAGCACATCTCCAACCTAATGTTTCAATTTATAGTGGGTTGAATGTCCTATGTTCACTCTTGGCCATTGAATCCATGGTAATCAAGCATTCCTTTGATATACATTGTAAATCTTTTAAAAGCCAAAGATTTTTTATCAGCATTTTAACTCAGGAATCTTTAAGAGCCTGGGAGCCACTTCTTTGGAATTTAAACACTAAGGAAGATACGGTGTTGCTTTCCTGTCACCATGACAGTTTCACCAAAATTGCCAGAAGTATTTATAAAAAGCTGCACTTGCTAACGTCATTACAGGAAGATAAGATGGTTGTATCTCATAAGAACGCACATGGCCAGGTAGAGCAGTGCATGCCTGTAATTCTAGTATTCAGGCGGAGTCTGAGGCAGGAGGCTGTCTTGTTCA